AAAATTGGTCCACCATTAATTGAACGTGTTATTCGTATTATGAATAGTGATTGTCATACTGCTAAAGTTGCTTTAATTGGACATGGAAATACTCTTCGATATATATTAGCCACTGAAAATCTTAAAGTTGGTGATCTAGTTAAAACATCTGGTGAAATACCAAAAAATCCCGGTTCGATTGTTTCTTTTTTTATTCTTTTCTAACTATTCATATCTTATTTGTTTTTTAGTAAAAGCAAGTGAAGGTGATGCATATCCAGTTGGTGCATTACCAATTGGTACAATTGTTAATTGTGTTGAAGGCTATCCAGGACAAGGGGCAAAATATGCAATGAATGCTGGTACATATGCAACAATAATGAAACGTATTGATGATCGATGTATTTTACAATTACCAACAAAACATGAAATATCAATACTTGAACAATGTATGGTTACTGTTGGTCGTTTATCTAATGTTGAACATAATGAATTTGTTTATGGTAAAGCTGGTGCAACACGTTTAATGGGTATAAGGCCAAAACTTGGTTTATTTCATCCGAAAACATCTCGATTTGGACGAAGACCATTTCGACCGAAACCTATACTTGTTATTACGGGTGAAAAACCTGAACATCCAAATGTGATTAAATTACAACATCCTTCACTTGATCCTTATAGATAATTGTTTTCTTTTTCAATAAAGTTACGAAAACAATGAATTGTTATGTTTTTTTTTAAGTCTTTGGATTTATGTTTAGTTTTACTGTAATCTTTGTCAATGACAAGAGTACATAGAAATAGATCAAAAGAACAGTTATGACTGTAATTTCACATAAGTAGAATAAAATGACTAGATAGTTTCCCTGTCAAGACTTTATTCTAGATGTTAGGAAAAAGCTGTTAGCACAATCTCTACGGAATTAAAATGTGAAACATGATATAGTTGCTGTTGATAATCATAAAGAGATCGTTTTATTCTATCTATTTAGGGACATGTTTCTTTGCCATTCTTTTATTTAATTCTTCAGAAATACAATGAGAAAATAGATTACCTATTATAAAGAGTCGTTGTTGATCGTATATCAATAGCGGCTGTCATGGCTTGTGACGCTACTATGGTTGTGTTTGTTATAGTCTATGATGGAGAAGATATGTAGCTAAGGATGTCTGCCGACAGGACCACCGTGGGATGGGGGATTCAAATTTTTACCCCTACACTTCAACAGTCATTTTAAATCGTGTTTCACAAAAACATCTCTATACTTTTCTAAATAAAAATCATTCATCGTCTAGGCTCTTCAATATAGTCCGTTAGATACAACATTTTTTAGTCCGAATCCGAGTTCGCGACTAACCCGACGAGTTCGGCTCTGCAACCATATACATATGTCAGTGGAAAATTTGATTTTTCGATAAAAAGAAACTAAAACAGATTTCTTTTTTAATTAGGTGTAAAATACGAGTTGGTTTTCTTTTATTTAAAAATAAATTCTAATTTTTATTTCCATTAAAAAAAGCATAACACATACTTTTTATTTTTAAGTAGACATACTATTGATTTTCATTAATCATATTCTAATGTATACACGAATGACTACTACATTGACATCAAAAAATTATGTTCAAAAGTAATTTTATGAACAATCAAATCAAGATAGTGATTTTTTCAGCATCAGATTCCGAGAGAAAACATTTATTATTCTACTACAGGGAATACGTAAGCTAAAAAGATGCTTCATTATTTCTGGTTGGAATTTAACTCAAAAAAACTTAATAGCATAGTATATTCACACTTTCTATAAACTTGCTAAAACAAATATATGAGATCAGTTCTTTGTTCTCGTCTTTTTCACTTTTTGTTTTTTCAGTCTTTTAAAAAATCTGTTTAATTTTGCCTATATTTTTGACTTTGCCTGACACATATATTTATCTTTTTGCAATGTAGATCTACATAAAGTTAAAGCTATCCAGAATTAACTGTTATTTTACAGCTATAAACAATATTTATTTCTTTACTCATTTTAGTCCTTTTAATATCTTTAGATTAAAAGGAGTAAAAGAAGTCCCATCAATGTGCACAGCCGTAAAAAAAAAGTTAGACTAGGATATATTCTGTTTCATGTTAATTTCTTCTTTTTTTTATGCCTTAATAAAAGTTTATTTGTTCGAGTAAATCCAAGATGTAGAAAAGTTGATCTTCTAAACCTATGATGTATCTATCAGAGTTTCTTACTTTTATAAATAAAAATCTATATTATCATTGTTTGTGTCAGTCTTTCTTTCAGATATGGATGATTCAATGAATTCTGTTCATAGCATATCAGCTATGGATATTTCACCAGCATCTAGTCCAATAGGTACAATAAATTCAATACCATCGAATCATTCACTTTTAAATGCATTTCAACAACAACAACAATTACTTTCGAATATTTTATTTAATGTACCAAATATGAATGATTATCGACCAATAAATGAAAGTCCAAATCCATATGAACATGATCATAATGATTCAAAAAGTCTTTGTCTATTTTCAACAGTATTATCAGATAATAATGGTGAAATTAAAACACAAAATAGTTTAGATGAACCAACTCAACTACGACAACGAATTATAACAGAATCAATTCCATCAGTTGTTGATTCAATACCAATCATAAAAAGATCTGAATCAAATACGTCTCGACGATCATTTACTAAAATTTTTCTTTTTATTTCAATTGTGCTACTAATTACCTATCTCATTGTGCAATATTTGAATACATCTATTGTTCTACCACATTCAACAAACTGGCAAAATACAACTGAATATTTAACGAAAAATATTATTGGACAAGATCAAGGACTCGAACAATTTAAAGATGCTATGAAAAACCATAAGAATTTTAGTGTCGTTATTATCGAAGTATTTATTAATTATTTTTTTTTTGAATAGTTATTCAAAATAAATAAATTTATTGAATTCTAGGGACCCATTGGTACTGGAAAATCTTATTTAGCTTCATCACTTGAAAAATTTTTACCAACAACTCTCATATCTACGAATACACTTCTTGGTTTACCATCACATCATTGGACTGAATCTGATCGTCTTTCATCATATTTATTATCATATTTATCTTCGTCATTATTTCAATTTTTAATTATAGATGATTTGGATTTATTACCAATGAATGAAACATATTGTCAAACATTGACTAAAGCTTTATATTCAATTAATAATTATAAAAATGTATTTATTATTCTTCTACAAACAGGTCCAATATCAAGTATATGTAAACAAAATTTAGAAAATATAATTACAAAATTTATTCAATTTAATATGTTACAACGTCATCATATTCGTACATGTATTCAAAATGAAGCTTATATACAAAATGTTCAACCACCATTTGATAATCAAGAAATTGAAAATATTCTTAATTCTCTTAAATATACTAATGAACAAGAAATATTATATAGTACAACGGGTTGTAAACAAATACCATCACTTGTTATGTTAGAATCAAAAAAACATCGCATTGATAATTAGTTAAATTTATTTTCTTATTTTCTTCTCTTTAAAATGTTCAATAAACTAGATAATCTACACGACTAACACATGATAGTACAAAGTATCAGGATTGTTTTATTTATTTATCTACTTTCATGCAATACTACGCTGATTGCATTACTGTTGAATATTGATCAGAGATGTGCACCATTCACGACATGACATCAAGTAATGGCTCCAAGCGTTAAATTGCATTGCTAGGAGTGTTAAAAAAAATAATCTGCATCAAATGCTGAACAGTTAAGAGAAGGATTTTAATCATAGACAAATTCATTTTTTCTGAGATATGGTGTGTTTTATACCTCACTTCATATTAATTTTTTTGAATTTAAAAATTGAATTATAATCAATATTGGTCAACAACGATCTCGATAACAAATCGATTTAACTTAAAAACTAGTGAATTTCATTGTGAAGAGCATAATATTTAAATTTACCTTAAATTAAAATGCCATGAAGAAAGTTTGTCTTATTTTCTGTCTTTTGTCAGGTTTTACAGCACTACAATAGGGCATTGTAAATAAATAAAAACATAATTTCTCAAGCCATCGATTGAATTTCAACTCGACATTATTCCAAAAGTCTTTGCTAGTAGAAAGTATTCACAACTAATCAGTGATTTCGAAAACTAAGATTTTTTCTAGCAATCGAAATTATTAAAACCTCATATTCTAGCTTGTTGCTTTGTAACTCGAATATTTTGACACTCCTAGAAAGTTTGAATCACATTGATTATACTCATATGCAATGTACATAAAAATTTCAAAAGTCATTGATTTTGTGTGAAATTGGAAGGCACTTTTCCAGCCAAATATGCTCTTAAAATTGTTCAGCCTTTGGTAAGTATCTCGAACCAAATATTTTTTACACAAATTTGCAGTAGAAACAGTAATTTTTCTAACAGGACCACTATTGAGTCTTCACAACGAGTTGTTGTCGCGCTATTTTGGAAACCAAATTAATGTAGAACTTTTACACCAAACGTTATACCTATGTTATCATTAAAATGAATACTTTCATTTGTCCTGATATATTTAAGAAATAGAAATCATTGCTATTTATTATTATTTTTTTTCGATTTTATATTTGCTTACAATTATTATAACTATAAGCGTATAAGAAAAGCAATTGTTTTTTATTGAAAGATAATCATCTGATCCAAGCAGCAATGAATGCTTAGTGTATATTTATATGAAATAATGCAATTGAAATTGAAAAAAAAATGTATTACCAGTAGTGTTATTTTTAGCATTTATTCACATTGATTTTGTTCGTATTGATTAATAAAATCCTATATACTGATGATTCAATAATCTTTATTATCTATTCAACGATATAGATGTTTAATGAAAACAATACTTGTTTTCGATACAATCTAATTTTTAAGTTCAGTCAATGAAATTTAATGAATTCTGTATTTCATATACTTTTGTAGTCATTTTTTTAAAATTAGATTCTTCCATCTTTATTTTTTTATTGAATTATTTTTTCTTCGCACATTTATATTGGATTGAGATATTTCATTTGTTGGATCATCAGCTGAATTTCTTTTATGCCAATTTTTTACTATGTCAGTAGCATTAATCAATGAGAGACGTTGTTGTGCTAATTCATTTTGTTGTTCCTGTACATTTGCAGTCTCTTGATCACGTTGTCGAGGATGTTGAGTGAGACTTTTCGCCACACTTGAACCATCAACCATCGAAGCATTTGGTAAATCACTACGTTCATGAGGTGGACACAATGATGTTCGCCGTACAAATGATGATTTTATACTTGTCATGGAACCGAATAGAAGAAAAAACTAACAAATACAATTAAAATAAATATATTTTATACGAAGAAAATAAATTTGCGCACTTTCCATTCAGTTCTATTTTTTTTGTTAATGCGGTCCGACGCACAGCATTTATGTAGTCGATCGAGTACGCATTCAACCTGTATACTTTTCCAGGTTGAAAAAGTACGATAAAAAACAATCGTATACGACGACATACGTTCAAATACGATTGCCATTTATCATGAACGTAAACGACTATCATATACGATCCTATAGGATCGTAACTGAGTCGTATGTTGAGATGCTCATCGATCAAGGCTATTATATGTTGAATCTTGTATCAAATTCAATGGTTAGTATAAATTAATAAAATAAGCAAATCATTTTTTTTGTCAGCTTTCTCTTCACATCACATTCAATAGTAAGCATTTTTATTAAAAGAAATTCAAATTTTATATCTCCATTTAGATTTATCTCAACAACAGATTTCATTGTAAGCATTTATTTAAATAAATCAACTAAATTTTTATTTAGGTTTATCGCAACAATGAATACAATGCGGAGTATTTATTTTAAAAAGATTTTTTTTTTTCATTTCAGTTCATCGAAACAACAGTTTCAATCGTAAGTATTCATTTTCAAAACTAAATTATTATTATTATTTTTTATATTCATCCCAATGACATATCCAATTGTAATTAATTAACAAATTAAATAATATTTTATGTAGATTTCTGTCTACAACGAGTTCCAGGTAAGTATCTATTTGGATAAATTTTTGTTTTGATTTAGATTCATCTCAACGATATATCCAATCGTAAGTACACATTAAAAAATGAAACAATACTTTATTTAGATTTATGTCAACAACAGGTACTAGGGTAAGTATTTATTTTATAAATTAAGCAGTATTTAAAAGAAAGTACTCTTTAATCTATTAAATAAAAATTTACGATTGAACCTGTTGTCGAGGATGCTACGAATGTTTTTCAATCTTCAACATGAACTTTCGGTCATTTTCAAAAAGTTTCGCGAAACAATGATTTTGACGATTTGCCTTCCATCTTTTACTTGAAATAATTAAGATATGGTGAGATAATCTCCAGACAACTATTGTAAACAGAAGAGATAATCAAAACTTTCGACAGGGCATGATCGACTCTAGATGAAATCTTTTATTGTTCTTATGTCGATTCAAACTAGAGTGTGGGTATAAAGAGTAGATTGATACTCGCAACAGCACTTAGAGCCGTATAATGCCTAATATATACTTGAAAATACTATGGTTAATAACTGTCTGTACTCTCAGTAATCACAACATGTTCAACAGCTTTCATCTATATTGAACATCAAACAAACGCAAGGCAACAAAGTCATTTATAATCACAGCATTGAAAATCAAAAAAAGACACTCAACGTTAGTGTTGTTTCTAATTTTTGAATAGCACATTATCTATTGCTAGGTAGAAAGATGATACCAGTACCAACGTTAAATATAATCGGCAATAAAAGAGCAAATGATGATATTCATGAACTATTATTAGAATCGACACTTACGGCATCTAATCACGATGACACACAATACTTAGTAAGATATTTCCGATTACTTAAAAAACGAACTAATATGAAAAAGCTTCCTAAGAATAAGAGCTATTTAATACTTGTATTTATTGGTCTCAGTTTCGACAACATAAAAATTTGTGTCGTATATCACTTTCTTTGGAAAAACTGGGCACTCCTCGAATCAGGAAATACAACTAGATATCGGTAGAAAGAAACTTGACAATAGGATACGTAGATGTCAAGTTTCCTGCGTAATGTCGATCTTTTTTTTATAGTATAAGAAAGCAAAATAAAACTTGAATCCTATTCGATTTCACTCTTGATTGTCTGATAAATAGATCACTTCTTCGAACAACACAAGAAATCACCCACGAAAAAACTTAAACAAGAAGAGGAAGGTGCATAGATTTTTTTAAACAGAAAAACTAATTTAGATTTAGCTACAGTGCTCAAAGTTTTGCGTAATTTGTCAAAGAACGAAGCTTAATAATATATCAATATAAAACATATGAAATAATAATTATCTCACATGCTTTGCCGTTTATCGATAAAGCAGATTACTAATAATAAAATATCAATGAAATGTATGTTGTATCTTATAAAAACAAAATAAAACTTTTTTCCAGAAGATTCTATAAAAAAAAAGAAATTCAAATTTGTTTTCTTAATATATAATAAACCTTTTATCTAATTTTTCCATAACTAAACAAAACAAATTTTCACTCCTGGAACAACCAATTCTATCGTATATTTTTGTCGATCGTCATGCTTTGTATTATCAAAATTTGATTATGAGTTGCATAGGTTAAAAAAAAAACGAAACTCATAAACTTGTCATAATCTTCACTGAAAGACATCATTTCGCACTAATCTTAAATCTTGAAAGCGTAGCTTTGATGCACATGGTCTCTCAATTATAGAATAATCTCAACGATATAAGAAACTTTTGCAAGAGAAATCATTGTTATAAATTATATAAGCTTGTATATAATGCATTTTTGTCAGATATTCATTTTAGTCTTTTTTCTTTAAATTTAGAATCGTTTTTAGTACTCAAGTTTCATTTTTAATACCGATACTAATTTATACCACCTGTAAGTGCAATCATTTTGTTTTCAACTGGAGTTTCTATTAATACTATATGAAAAAGTCAAAAAAAGGTTTGAACGGTTTTGACGTTAGGTACTTTAACGTCGAGATATAATTTTACTAGATGCAAGCCGATGCATCGATTGGCGACGACAACTGAAATTTTTCTATGACGTTTTCTTAAGAACTTTTTAAATAAAAAAAATGCAGCAATAATAGAAAACTTATTGCCAAAAAACATCTCCAAAAACTGATTTCAAACGACAGAAATTTTCAAAAATCAACTACCTTTTTTCTGGATGCAGTTGGATCGTTTAAAGATTGGTGGCAGCATTCCAGCCGATCAACTTACCCCTTTATTCCTAAATATATTATTTCGTTGAAAAATATGATTGACAAAAAGTTCATAGGTTTAGTAAAATGCTCCAGTTCATATTCATCGAATCTATCTAGTCGTTTCGCATACAAATCATTCTTCTGTCATATTACAATTACATAAGGCAAAGACCAATATTCATTTTCATTTTAAATCATTCACTTCAAAAGCTTATTTTCTTTTTATTCATGTGTGCAATTGTTTTTATTTGTGTGAAAGAGGATGATATTATTTAATCTCTTTCATCACGTCAATGATGGATAATAATGATATGAATACACAAAAAAAAACTATTAGCAAAGATGTTTTAGAATGCACACAAATATATAAAAACGTGAATATCATTCTTCCAGGGTATTTTCCTTTCTGTTATTTTCTCGTCGCACAAACATAACATAAACATAACAAAACAGTGAAAAACTCAATAACAACAAAGAAGCAACAATAGAAATAAATGATGACGAAAAGAACAATAATTGCTGATATTTGTTTCTCTAATAGTTTGTTGCACCATTTTCTTAGAAACACATACATTACACGTAGAAGAGAAAAAAGTTTTAAGAAAAAGATAAAGATGGTTAACAGTTACTTTTTGTTTTTTCTTTTTTAAAATGACAGATGGAAAAAGTTCAGATGATAATCAAGTTGTTTACTTCTTGCCACCTTTAGCAGCGGCTGTAGCTGCTGATTTGGTAACTTTGCCTGATGATGCAGCTTTCTTTTCAACTTCTTTGATGACACCAACAGCTACCGTTTGACGCATATCACGGACGGCAAATCGACCCAATGGTGGATAATCAGCAAATCTTTCAACACACATTGGTTTTGATGGAATCATTTTAATCATAGCAGCTTCACCTGATTTAAGGAATTTTGGTGCTTCTTCAATTGTTTTACCCGATCGACGATCAACTTTTTCGAGTAATTCAGCAAATTTGCAAGCAATATGTGCTGTGTGACAATCAAGAACTGGAGCATAACCAGCACCAATTTGACCGGGGTGATTAAGAACGATGACCTAAAGTTTATATAGATATTAACAATATCAAAAATAGAACAATAGAAAGTTTACTTGAGCGACGAAATTAGCTGCTTCTTGAGCGGGATCATTCTTAACATCTGAAGCAACGAAACCACGTCGAAGTTCTTTAACACTAACGTTTTTGACGTTGAAACCGACATTGTCACCTGGTACGGCTTCTACAAAAACAAATATTTCGTGTAAAATAATTATATAAAGAATTATAAGTATTTACCTTGAAGAGCTTCATGATGCATTTCAATTGATTTAACTTCAGTTTGTAAGTTTGATGGTGCAAAATTAACAACCATGTTTGGTTTGAGAATACCAGTTTCGACTCGACCAACAGGTACTGTACCAATACCACCGATTTTGTAAACATCTTGTAATGGTAATCGAAGTGGCTTGTCAGTTGGTCGTTGAGGTGCAACAACAGAGTCAAGAGCATCCAAAAGTGTCTTACCACTTGCATTACCTTCTTTTCGTTCGACTGACCAACCTTTATACCATGGCATTTTGTCTGTTCCTTCAATCATGTTATCACCATGCCAACCTGAGATTGGTACGAATGGAACACCTTGTGCAGCATAACCAATCTTCTTGATATAATTTGATACTTCAGTTTTGATTTCATCGAAACGTTTTTCTGAATATGGTGGTTCAGTTGTATCCATTTTGTTAACAGCAACAATCATTTGTTTGACACCCAAGGTGTAAGCAAGTAAAGCATGTTCACGTGTTTGACCATTTTTCGAGATACCAGCTTCAAATTCACCAGTACCAGCAGCAACGACTAATACAGCACAATCAGCCTAAACATAAGAAATGGTTTGCTTTGACATTAAGATAAGAGAAAAAATACATACTTGTGATGTACCAGTAATCATGTTCTTGATGAAATCACGATGACCAGGAGCATCAATGATGGTTACATAGTATTTAGCTGTTTCGAAT